AGATAGAGAGGGAGAGAGAGAGATATTCCATCTGTTGCTTTACTCCCCACATGGCCGCAACGGCCAGAACTAGATCAGGAGCCAGGAACTTCGTCTGGGTGTCCCCTGTGCTGGGTGGCTTGGGTCCATATTCTTGGGTTGTACTCTCTTCCTTTTCCAAGCACGTCAGCAGGATCTAGATCAGAAGTTGGAGCAGCTAGAGTATGACTTGGTACTGAAGTGAGATACTGGTGCTGCAGGTGGCTCCCAGCCCTTTGGAGAGGGAGTGAGATGATTGTTCCACAGACAAATGGTGTATTTCCATCAGAAAGATGGTCTGGGTATTCCACCGTTTGATATGCTCAGTGACTGGGCCCATTTACTTATAGGTGGTCCTGTCCCAACTCTATCATTTCCTCTTCAGCTGAAAGTCTGTGGAGAAAACCTTCCTCTTGTGCACTATTTGCTTGCATCATGGGACAACACTTCTAGGAATCGTTTGCAAATCTTGATTGAAAATCCGTATTAGCAGAGGCTTCATGGTATAACATTTGAAGTCCATATCTTATTTAGTATGCAGTTTTATTATAATAAGAAGGTAAATTTATGCCATTTCATAAATAGTGCTTTGCATGGAAGGAAGAATTTTCTGCTTGTAAGATAGCTTTAAAAACCCTCTAACACTCCCCCAAGCTTTTAGTAAAAGTGGTTGTGCTTTTTAATAGCAATTACAAAGGATAATCTTGCTTAACTGAAATCCTAGACTACATCTGATATCATTTTAGTTTTCAGTGACCTACTTATTACGTGGTATGATTTACAGTTGAGGTTTATAGCTTTAGCAAAATAATGTTTTGGTTGTTCACTTGAAAAAAAAAAACCTGTTTTATTCTCTGGGATGGAGTAAAGCCTTTCCAGTCATAGTTATCTCAAGGTTAAGTCATCATTCAAATAACATTGTAGCTCAGCTCTAATATGAGCTGTAGACATGATGTATATGAGGCTTGTGTTTGCTTAAAGACAAAAGAAACATACAAGGAATCTTCAACAATCCAAGAAATGACACAGTGTGCATGTTGTACGTGGGCATGAAAAACTCGTGCCTGCACATCAACATCTGATTCCGTTTTCCTGTGAACTTTGTGGATTCCTAACCCCTGGACACAGAATAAGTCAATCATACTTGCACATACACTAAGTTTGATTTGCATGGAAATATTTCAGAAATATTGCATATTAAGTATTTTGGAAAAGCCCCTTTTGAATTTAGTTCCAAATGAAATCAGCTGTTTACCGTTGGCTAATGGAAGAAACCAGGAGGAACAGCAGAACCAGAAGTTGGCTCTGATCTAGGGTTGATTCTGGTGGGTCCCGAGGTCCCCCAGCCCCTGCTTTCTTCATCCACTGGGGCACTGATCCCCCAAGATCTTGGCCAACTTTTTTCTTACCCTCTCCTCTTCATCACTTAAATCCTTTGTCTCTAACTACATTACATCCATTCAGTGCTCCTCTTAATGCCTCCACGATTTCTTAATATCTACAAAGGGTGGATTGATTCCTGCCCCCAGAATATGCCAGCAGGAAGTAGTAGGGTGTGCATATTGGACTGGCCCCAATTTGAGAAAGAAACCAACAAGGGGAATATTGTCTTTCTTTGAACATTTTTTTAGAGCATTTTCCTTTCTTATCCAGATTAGTCTGACCTCAGCACAGACAAGCATGTATTACTCTTTATGGCAAACCTGAGCGCTGCCTGGACTGCCTTGGTGGTTTTCCATGAATGTAATACGATAATCCCAGCGGAGCCGCTCAGACACGGGTGACTCTCAGGAACACTTTGTCAGCGCTATTATGATGTCTTTTATTTTGAACCCTGCTGAAAATGGAAGCATTGTGGGGCTAAACTATATTCATGGGCAAGCTCTCTGCTTTATCAGTTGGGGTGCCCTCTGCATGACAGAGGGACATAAGAACATTTTGCTACAATTTCCCTTGTCAGTAATATCTTCATGAGGCTTCCAAGGTAGACTTTGAAGAATACTTTGTGTGATACACATGCATAAAAAATTCAACAACCTTGACGTGTTAAAGTCAGCCTCTTCTCACCTGCAGCGATGTTACAAATAATTTACAAATCAGATGGCTTAAAAGGCAGCTGTGTTCTTTTTTCTTTGTGAACTTTTTAGATTTTATTTTTGAGGATGTTTACATAATTGATTAGGGTAGGAAGGGTTGAGGGTTAGGAGAAAGTGGGTTAGATCATAGTTTCAACGTTTTCTTCTTTCTTCTTCCTGTATCTGGAGAAAGAGGGGGATGAGAGAAGACACATCCAGCCTCCCAACTGCCTCAGCGCCCGGGGATAAGGAACAGCCACCCATGTCACCCAGAGTCCCTGGTGTGCGGCATGCTCCTAGGGTTCTGCTTAGGTGGTTTCGATAGTTCTGAGATGCTGTTGATCTTGCCGATCCAAGGATGAGGAAATCCTTCTAAGGTCTATTGGCTGTCATAGTCCACCTTAGAGTCTCCATTTGACCAGTTATTTGCTGCAAAACCTTGGCTGGGTTAGTTGATCAATTTGTTCTGTCCTCCTTCCTCTGTTATGGTACCAGATGTCCTCAGCAGGCTACAATGAACTGCCATGTCCTCACATGCATCTGGGTGTGCCATCCATTGCTCTGTCTAAGCTACTGAGGAGGACCACAGATCCTGAGGTTCTCCCCGTAGTTGGAGTTCTGAGTCCAGTGGTTCAGTTGAGGGTGTCCTAAAAGAAATGTCATTTGAAGTGATCCCAGATCCGACTCTTGTGTGTGCTTGCCAGTATGGGGTCTGGCTCAGTCCGTCACCCACATCTTCCTACGCACACACTGATAGTAGCAATTTCTGGGTTAGTTCTGTCTCCAGCCCCATCTCTTATGCAAACCAATGTGTGCTACAGCCCAGGCTGACCGTGCACACCACACACTTGATCCTCATGTACACCAGCAGAAGTTGCAGCCTAGTTAGAGCAACACCCAATATCCTCACCAGGCCCACCCCAGCCCTGGCTCCTGTGCTTGCCAGTATGCGCAGCAGACTGATCCAGTCTGTCCCATATCCTGTTTAGTTCTCTTTTACGTCAGTGGGTGTTGCAGCCCAGCTCAACCCAACCAATCCCATTATCCAGCCCATACTCAATCCAGTGGGCACTACAACCTGTCTAGCCTGGTCTGTCCCCAGCCCCGAGTCTCATGCCTTTCAGAGGAGTGCCCACAATTTTTCCACTAGGCCCACACCCAGTCATGGATCTTGCACTCTTGAGAAGATTCTGCAGTCTATCTTGACAGGGTTTGGCCTCAGTCCCAGAACTTGCCAGCTGATGCTGCAGCAAAGCCCAACCAGCCTGCACTCACTCTGGTTTATGCATGCACCAGTGGGAATAGCCAGTTAGCCCAGCCTAGCTCTCCCCCTAACCCAGCTTACATGCAGGCCAACAGGCACTGTAGTCCTGCCTGGCCTGGTCCATTCCGAATCCCAGATCTCACACTCAGCAGTGGGGAGCAGTGGCCCAGCAGGGCAGCCTCTGCAACCCCACCACCAGATTGCACCCCTTCCCCAGGGTCTCATGTGTGCTGGTGGGTGCTGTAGCCCAGTCTGGCCTGGTCTGCCTCACCTTTGCATTTGCTTGTGGTTGCTATAGACTAGCTTGGCCCAGCCCACCCCCAGCTCCAGCCCTAGTGTGAATTGGCTGGTGTTGTGGCCTGATCTGGCCTGTCCTGCACCATGTCCTGGTTCTCGGATTTGCCATTCAGTGCTATGGACTGACCTAGCCTGGCTTGCCCCTGGATCTCACCACACACATGCCAGCAGGTACTATAACCTGGTCTGGTCTGGGTTGCTAACAGCCTTGGTTGTTGCACTCACCTGAAGGGACTGTGTCCTGATAGAGGAGTTCCTCAAGCTCCTCTAGTGGCACGTCCCACGCATACTGATGGTCCTTCGTCTAGACTGACTTAGTTCACCTCTTGTCCTGGCAGGAACAGTGGCTATGCCCAACCATCCCACGCTCATTCCGGTTCTTACTGTCGTTTGTGAAAACATGGTCACTCCTGGTCCATGTCCCGACACAGCTCTCATGTGGTTCTGTGGGTACCAAGACCTGGCCTAGTCTGTCCTGCACCCATCCTGGCTCTCATAGCACCAGTGGGAGCTAGAGTGTGCCAGAATGGGCACACTCCAGGCCCAGTCAACACTCATGGTGGTCAGCTGTGAGCCATGTTAACTAGCCCAGCTGAGCTTTCCCACATGGACTGGTGCATGGCCCTGCAGATTCCACCCTCTGACCTGTTTGTTCTCAGCTCCCTCACTTACCGGCAAGTCCCAGGAGTCCCTCAGAAGTCAACCCTTGCCTGCGACATATTGCCTCCCTAGTCTTCCCTCCCACACATCTATTTACCCTGCTCCCTGACCACGCATCTGGGGAGATCCGCAGGCTTGCTCTGCCTACTAGACAGGAAGCTCCATGTCTCCTTAGGTCCCCGCCAGCACCATTCCCCTGCCCCAGCAAGCCTGCACGCCCAGTTTCCCAGGATCACTGGTCCAGCTGCTTGTGTCCAGGCAGCTCACGTTGCTGCTGCTGCTCCTGGGAGAGTGAGGGCTCTAGCGCCGCAGGAGGCAGCCGGCAGGGAGGCTGCTTACCATGGAGTGCGGCCCTGGGGAAACTGTGTTCTTACTGGTTTAAAAATTCTAAGATTTTACAACTAATCTAATCATTTCCTCAATAGAATTTTCTTTTAAAGTCTAGCCCCTTGGAGATATTTGCCTTCTGAGCTGGTTGATTGCCCCGAATGCAGCCTACATTATGAATGGGCTGTCTGTGACCCACTGAGGACCTTGTAGTGTTTGTTTATGAATAGATGGAAATGGACTGGCAATCCTATGCTTGTTCTGCTTAAACTAACCATGCCAAAGCTCACTTGGGTGTTTAAGGCAGATAGGTCTCTTTCTTCCAAAGAACATGTTTTACAGCTCCATTTTACCTGCAGGCACAGTCCTGTTAGGATGACTTGTGAGTTGGAACAGGAAATATGGACAAGGAGTTACCTGGAGTCTTCGTCACCTGAAGAGCTACTCACCTGAGAGGTTGGTATTTCAGTTTGGGAATTATTATTATTATTGTCTGACTGCAGCACTGGACAATCGATTTCTTCTAGTGTTGATTCATGAGAACAAATGGAGAGAAGTCTTCTGTTGAATTCTTTCTGTGACGTCAGGATGAGACTACCCTTATATTGGTTTGGATGCCAGTATTGGTGGCACACAAGTAACAGGAGGAAATGAAACAGGGGTGCTGTGCACGCAGCCAGGCTTTCTGGGGGAGAACAGGGCAGGCTCCCCAACAGCTCCAGTGCTGACTCAAGGACACAGGGAAAGACAGGTCTGACTTTGGTTGTGTTCAGGAGGCAGCCATGAGCGAGGACTTCCATGTGTGTGCCACACATGGTGGTTGGAGCATCACTGGTGCTGAAGAAGAGAGCATGTGGGCTCTCATCAACTTGCCCAGATACAGGAGATCAGCAGAACTTCACAGCTGTCAGCATTAACATCTCAGACCGGGGTCAGAGTCTTTAGCATACCTCATTTTAAATTCAAGACCTAAAAGTCCCTGAAAGGTGATATTCTTGTGCCGAGCAGGCCAAATCCAGGAGTTTGGAATTCTATCCAAGTCTCTCTTCTGGGTGCTAGGAACCCCAGTGCTTACCTGGATGTGCTTTCGCAGGACTCAGCCTAGGCACTCTGATATGAGAAGTGAGTATCTCCAGCAGCGTTTTAACCATGGAGTCAAATACCAACTCCTCCATATCAATTGTATCTTACACTGCAATGGTACATTTGTCAACTTTAATTAATTAGCACCAGTACAGAATTACTAAGTGAAGACTGTATTCACAGTTCCCTCATTTTTACCTGTATCCTCTTTGTGTCAGAATACCACATTACATTTAGTCTTCTTGTCATCATATCTTGTCATCATAGGCTTCTGTGGACTGTGGCAGCTTCTCAGACTTTGTTTTGATGTCCTTAAATTTTCAAGGAGTGCCAATTAATTTTATAATGTCTGACAAGTGGAATTTTTCTATTTTTTGTCTCATGATTAGACTGTAAGTGTGGGGAAGGAAGGCAACAGGGCTACCATTCCCATCACATCATGTCAGGTACCATAGTGTCAACCTGGCAACTCATGTTAGTGCTGACTTTAATCATCTGGCTGATAAAGGCGTTTTGTAGCCAAAGGGTCTAGAGATGTCATCATGAATAGACAGGAAAGGCAAGGGGTTTACTACGTATGGTTTCTGCACAGGAAATTCACTCTGGGAGGAAGTGACTATGTGAAATCTAATGCTAACCGTGAGGAGTTAAGCGCGGCCTTTCTTCCAAGTGGAGAATGCACAGGAAGTACTTGGCGTTCCTCTCACTGGAGACTTACCCTCTCTGGCTTCATCAGCCATCTACCCTCACGCGTGCGATACTTTGGACCATAGCCCTCAACTGCTTCATTCGGTTGATCATGTGTTTGAGCTTGGCCTTCGGGCACTGTTCCTGTCGGCTCCTCTGCCACTTTGACATGCTCACCTGGTTTGTGAATGGTTTGTGCTTGTTTAGCCCTATTTGGTTTCTGGCACTGTGAAATGTTCCGATTCCATTTTCTATGTTCCCTGCCAGTCCCAGAATCCATCATTTGCTCAAGGGACCTGCTTTCTTTCATTGAACAACAGTGTTGGAAATCAAGATGTGGATGATGAGGCATACTTTTTGCTATGGAGTATTATTATTGGTTCTATGTGGTTCTCTCGGGCAGCCAAACAAGGAAATATGTGTTGACATGCAAACCCCTGTATATACACATTCAGAGAGACACATCTGTAAGTGTTTATGTATCCATCTTGGTATTGAGCTCACCATACTTTTGCCTTGATGTCTTCAACATTTTCATTGTGGTCATTCCCTGCTCCCCCTCGCCCCACCTTGGACAAAAGGACTTGAAGAAGCACATTTGTATGCTTACTAGATTGCCAGCAAGCAAATTCACACAAGTGCTAGTCTCTTTGGGGTCAGGAAACAATACCCAGATTTACAGAAGTACAAAATAATGTAATGGTCTCCATGTTTGAAAAGATCCTCGAGTTGATTCACATCAGAACTTGAAGAAACTTAGTTGTAAAGCCCCTGTGGTCAGGTCTCTACTTTTCATCCTGATTTTTTACTGCTCTTTGACAAATACCTTGTCAAGTATACATGCTTGAAGTCCCTGGTAGTACTGTGACTTCCCATGGCTTCACGCTTCACGTGAGTAGCCCTGTGGACCCTCCTTCGTCTTCTGTCTCTGCTAACTTTTCTATGTCCCGCAGACGCAGTGCAGACATTATTCAGCTCACAAGGCTTTCTTGATCTTCTCTGCTTCCTGCCCCTCTCTCATTTCTGGCAGAATGAGTTTTATCTCATTGGTCTTCTGTTTTATTGCTTTCCATAATAATCAATGTACCTGCCAATATCATTTTTTTTCACCTATAGCAAGGAAAAGACATTTACGAATAAAGAGAATGAGAGAAAAAGGGCTACTGGTTCACTCTGCAAACACCTGCAGAAGCCAGGGCTGGGTTTTGCTGGAGACAGGAGCTGGGTTCTCCATCAGCACCCCACATTGGGGCCAGGGACTCAAGTGCTTAATCAGCCACCTGCTGTATCGAGTGTAGCCACATGCACTTGAGCAAGAAGCTGGCCTCAAAAGTGGAGCTGGGACATGAAATCAGGCTCTGATATGGAATGTGACTGTCCTGAGCTGCCAAGCTGGATCTTCTTTGGGTTCTGATGAGACCAGGAGTTAAGAACCAGCAACTGGCAATGCATTTCAGACCTCCACTCACAAGACTTCCTGTGTGCTTTGTTGGAGCAGGCTTAGAAACTTGATTAAATTAGAAATTTACCCTAAACCCACATACGCAGTCCCAGGAGGCTAGACCTTTGATCCATTTGAAGTAATGTTGATGCCAGCAGGGCCACAGTCACATTATACTATATTGAACATGAGGAACAGCAAGCAGTACCCATGAGTCTCCAGGTCTGTTTCCAGGAAACAACTGGCTTGGAACTCTGAGCCTGATTTTCCTTCCACTGTGGAACCAGGAATTAGACTAGTTTTGCTTTGTGCTTACCTGAATAAAGATAGGAACTTTCCCTTGCAGGGAAGAAAGAGAGAAGAGGAGAAATGGAACAGAAGTGAGTGTTTTTTCTCCAATCCTTGCTCATCCTGCGTCATAACTCTGTTTGCTCGGTGGAGACCTGTGGTTCAGAGTATTAAGTGTCTCGATATGATATTCCAGTGCTAACTAAGCATGAGTTGCAGAGTAAACTCAGCATTTATGACTGGAAGAGTAGATGTGCATGATAATGTTGGAGTGAAACACTAGAATTCATCATGTTGAAAAAGCGTGTTCAACACAAAGAGAAGGGAGGAAGGAAGAAAGCAAGGAATAGCACATAATGCTGTGCTGACTGACAGACTTGAGATTGTCATTGGCATAGTATTACACGTGCAAGTAGATGATGGTAGAGCACTGAGTGAATATTCAAAGTCATGACCTAGAATAATTTGAAGGAGGTGGGTGTTTGGAATGGCCATGAGCTGTCTGGTTTTCATTCCCAGCTCAGGCTCTGAGTTCCTGCCTCTTGCACTTAGTATAACCCCTAGGGAGGCATCAGTGATGGCCCGAATGGCTGTGTCCCCACCCCCCACGTGGGAGACCTGTGTTGAGTTCTGAGCTCCTGGCTTTAGCCCTGGCAGGCTGTGGTGGACTTCTAAGGAGCGAACAACTGGATATCAACTTTATTTTTCTCCCTCCGGAAAAAAAAAACAGAATAATATTCAGAATCAAAAGAATGTTCTGGAGGTGCATAGTGAATAAAAAGGACAGAGTTTTTTTTTAAAAAATGAATACTCTGTTATTATTGAAAACATTTCCAATGAACAGGTGACACTGTCCTCTTGAAACTCTTTGTTTTTCAGAATCAGAAATTAAGTTCATACTATTAAGCACAGTGATGTACTTTTACTTAAGATAGAAAGGATAGTGCTAGCTGCTGACAAACAAAATGCAAAACGTGCACTGGCTCAGACACACACACACACACATGCACACACAAATGTCCTTTTCCCTTAGGTTAAGTCTTAAATGGCTGTTCCCCGTGGGTGGCTTCCTCCAAGGTTGGTTCAGGAATCCAGGCTCCTCACATCTTGCAGCTCTGCCATCTTTCTCACGTGGCTTTCCGGAGCTCTGTCCAGAGTGAGCACACTGTGCTGCAGCAGCGAGAAGGCGCACTCTGCTTCTTACTAACTTGGTGCGGAAGTGACGGGATCATTGCCACATGCCCACTGGTGGGCTCTGACATGAAGGTGCAAAGGAGGCTGGGAATGGAATTGCTGTTTGCTGTCTTCTTCCCACCCACAAAGCCTACCAATGACAGTGAGGTCAAGTCTGAGCAATGAATCATTTCTACCAAGACTGATATTCAGGCATTTTATAAGTATCTGATTTCTCAAAATAACTTTCACTATTGCAGCATTAAATATCATCTAAGATGTTACCAAAGAGGAAGGCATGTGAAGGGTAATTGTTCTCAGGAGGTTTTTTTTTTTTTTTTTTTTTTCCCTAAACAAGATATTGAGGAAAGATATATTTAGTGAAGAAAGGCTCCAACAAGTTGTGGGCTGAGTCTAACATTGTTGATCTGTGGCCAGTCTCCGATCCATGAGTTGGTGGCATGGATCCTGTTTGCAAGTTGGGCTCCAAGCGTTGGACTTTGATGTTTAATTCCGGAAAAATTATAAAATTTTAATTTGGCTAAACAGGGCTAATGGCATGTGCTACTTGACTCCTGAAAGCTTTGCCCAAAATGGCAACAAGGCATCATCCAAGTGATGAATGGCTTAGGACAAGAGAGAGAGCTTTAAAGGACTGATGCTGATTTACTTGCTCCCACTGCAGCCAAGAAAGCAAGCAAGGGGCTGCCGAACTCAGCTCTTTCTCAGACTGGCATCTTCCACATTCACTTGGATGTTTTAAGGGCTAGCTGAGTAGTCTTTT